TTTTTATTTATACTTAAAAGTAACTTAGTTACTCAAAAGTATCTTAGTTACTTAAAAGTATCTTAGTTACTCAAAAGTATCTTAGATACTTTCATATAGTATCTTAGATACTTTCGGATAGTATCTTAGATACTTTTTAAAGTATCTTGTAACTAAAGATACTTTTAACTTAAAGTATCTAGTTACCAGAGGTAACTAAGTTATTTTGTTTAAAGTATCTTAGAAAAGTAACTAGATACTTTACAGAAGTAACTTACCCAGCTCTGATTGTCAGTGGGAAATGTTTGATTGACTGCCCTAAATCACGTGTAATTTTTCAACAAAATAATCTGTTAAACATGAACAAAATAATTTGTAACCTTTGAAATTAACTAAATGCTTACAAAATTGCATATTACCTTTGGGTAAAATATTTTCCTTTGTTAAAATAATAAAAAAAACTCTTTTATTACAAAAAATTATGATAAAATTTTACAAAATAAAATTAACAAACTCATGTCAACAAATCTAATTTTTATAACAGTGTAGGTATTTATGTCATAAGGCTGAGAAGTGATACTTTTTGTGCTGAGTTTAAAGTTTGAAAGCCGACGCGTTAGCGGAGGCCTACAATTAAGCGAAGCACAAAAAGAAACGTCTCAGCCGAATGGCATAAAACATTTTATCTTCACGGCACAGTTTTATTTGTTTAAGGTATCTTAATTTAGAGTTTCCATAGAATGCCTTCAACATTTAATATATGATTTTGTTAGGCATCAGACACATTCACAATTTTAAAATTTCAGATTTTTTTACAGCAGATTCCAAGAAAATAATGTTACATTTGTTTTCATACCCCACAGTGTAATTATTATCTCACGAACTTGCTTATGACAAATTAATACTTCTAATAAGTATAATAATTTGTATCCACACCTGGCTCCTGAGCATTTAAGATCTATAAAGATGGTGAAAAAAACGGTTGGTGCAGATCGATTCTACATTTATTTAGGAACGTTTTCCTGCAAATCAAACCGCTTGGTTTGGTCAGTTACGGACAATTTACGGTTTACGTGCCCGTACACAGGTCCATAAAAAAAGTTGTCTGTACTGGGGATGTGACTACATTTTCTTTTGTATATTTTCACTTCACCTATAAAATTTTTGAGAAAAATCTGAAAATGTGTTTTTTTTACTACTTCTCACTTTTCTCAGAAATATGACCAGAATCCAATTTTTTATTTCAAACTTGTATTCAGCGTAAAAAATACAAAAGAAGAGTATACCCTTAGTTCGTACAATTTTTTTTGTGGGCCTGTGTTTTTAAAAATTGTGAAAAATATTTAAAAACGCATTTTCCATTATTTATTGAATAGTAACAATGTAATAACAATATCCGAAAACAAAAACAGGTATACACCCAATTATGTCAACAAATAGATATTAAAGTAAATTAAAAAATATTTGGTAATTTTTACCAAATAATAGCCAGATTTTATGTTAATCCAGGTCCTTTACAACTTTACAACCAACTGTAATCTATTACTAATTGAATAAGTAGTTTGTAATTACTACAGACATTTTGTAGATTTAATAACAAAATTCTATGTCAATAATTTAACCATAATTCTTGTAATTTTCAAAAAGGACAATATTTTTACCCAGTAACAAAAGTATTTGTTGGAATTTGGAAATTAAAATGAAAAAAATTTTAAAAAAATATTGCTTTATTAATTAATTTCCTAAACAAAAAGAATTAACACATACACATAAATGAACACAAAAAAAACATATACCTACACAATTAAATAACACAACATTCTGAAATCATCAAAATATAAAGAAATTTGGTACAATATAACTATCAGTACTACTACAACACTTACTGATGTATTTCGTAACTTTAACCCACTTCACTGTTTCCATCTTTTTTCGGATACTTCGCACTTCGCACACTCGTTAAATAGGTATAAGCAATCCAAATAACAATAGTAACAGATATCTGGTAAAATATTATAAACACTCCCGTTGTAACGAACACGTTACGAATCAGAAGAAAGTAGGCAGAACGTTGCAGAATGTTGTAGACGCCGAAGTTAACTGAATTCGTTGATGCGTATTGTTGTGCTGAAACTGGATGTATAACGATAAAAAAGTCAATGGAAAAGGAAAATGTTTTGATTGGCTGCCTGAATTCACAAAATTAACAAAATGCTTACAAAATTGCATATTACCTTAACAAAACTTTCGGTAAACTATTTTCCTTTGTTAAAATATTTACAAGCACTGCTTTTATTCAAAAAATTATGTTAAAATTTTACAAAATAAAATTAACCAACTACAAATCTGATTTTTATAACAGTGGATATAAATTTTTATAACAGTGTATATGTTTTGATGAAAAGTCAACTTTCTAAACTTCATTAACAAAAGAGGATAGTGTTGATGGCTTAGAAATTGATTATTAATTACAGTTTATTTTTATGGGAATCTTAAAATAGTTATTTATGTATCAAGGCAGTAAAGTCGTATTTTTTATCACGAATGTGGAAATTATAAATATCCACGTTCAACATTTTATGAAAGGGTCCAATCCACCTTCGCGACGGTGATTTTTTAAATATTATTTAGTTGTTGCTGAGGAGCAGTAGACACATCTTAAAATATATAATGGGTTGCATACAATATTCGTATTAAATCGGCAGTAAAGTTCTACTTTACTGCCGATTTCTTTTACTTTACTGCCGATTTCGGATAAAACAAATGAACAATTTATATTGTTACTTATTGGTTTTTATGCTGTTTTTAGTTTTTAAATGATACTTTGATTTGTAATAAAGTATTAATTTGTTAATTAATATTCAATATTTTATTTTTACTACATTGGCATCGCTGAATTTGGCCTACTGGTATTTATTTATTAAACTCTTTAAATGGAGATACTACCTTAACGATACATAAAAAGTACTTACAATAATTATTATAATAACAATTATAATAGTATAAAGTGAGATTAGATAGCTCAGAGCTGTCATCAGTTATCGAAACTGAGCTCTTTCTTGTATCTACTGTTACAAGAAAGCTCAGTTTTATAGAGCTAGAGACAATGGTTTTGAACCCACCCTAGTAGATAAGTTAGTAAATAAAATTAAATTTAAGTCTTGCATTTCGAGTTAACGACTTTTTAAGCAATTTTATGACCATTCCTTTCGAATCCCAGTACACTCAAGGTCTGAAAGGAATTTTTCAAAAACTGGACTTCAAAATTGATATTGGTTCAAGCAGTAGGTAACATACTTTAGATCCTTTTATGCAACCCAAAAGATAAGATTACTAAAATGTAAAATTTGGAGATCTACGTAATAAACTGTCAAGATTGTGACAAGAAATATGTTGAACAAACTAAACGATCCATCCAAGTAAGGTTCAAAGAGCACTTGACCCATGCTAGATTTGGTAGGACAGAGAAATCGAGTGTTGCCCAACAATGTCACATAGAGACCCTGTTCAAACTAATAGATTTTTTAATCGGATTGTATGGTGTTTCTATAGGTGTATCGGTATGAATAGGACCCATAGTTGGGATTTATGGTTGTTCTATAGTGATATCCTTGATTTATTTGCTATCGGTCTTAATAGGCAAAATACACAAAAATGTAGAAATTAGTTTTTCTCCTAAAGGTTTTAACAAAATTTTGTAAAATATTTTATGGTTGCTCTATAAGGATATCCCTATATATACTTCCTTGAGTTTTTTGCTATCGGTCTCAATAGGGGAAATCTGGAAGTTGTGGTGTACCTATAGGTAATTTCCTATTTTCCATCGGGCCGTATCCGAAAAAAGCATGGACAAATGCACATATTGAGTCCGTTAGCGCCCGATAGATTATTTTTATGGGTCTCTTTGGGTTATTTTAAGCAGGGTTAAGAAAGGTAGGGAACCAAGTCTGCTAGATAGTTATAAAAGTTTATACATCTATAAGAATAGAAATAAATCTTTTAATTGCGATAACGGACTAGTATACCGCGGTACCCAACTCTAGATTGTATAAATTAGTTTCTTAGTTTCTCTTTACGTATTCACTGAAGCGGTTACGGTCCACGGGTTAGTAAACTGTGTCCGTTCACGGTTCAGTCAACCTTAGCTTATAATTAGTATAAATATGGTAGATTTAGCATTTAGATTTAGTTACACTTTCCTTCCGAAGGTGCAAAGATCGTTGGCGAAAAGTACTTTAAGCACTTTGTGTTTTGTTTTGATGTTGGGGAATATTTCTAATATTTGTTTAACATATCACCAAAGTTGTCCTTTTTCAAGTAGTCACTGTGTATGGTGACTTACGATTTATTTTTAGAAATGGCTTTATTTCAACGAAAAATCTTTGATGATTTCGCTGAAATCCAGCTCCCACATTAAATCACTTTCAATGCTAATTAGGAATAACTTTGATAGGCGGTTTTATCCCATAGTAGTTCTTAGCCTATTTTTTTATAATTTTCATTTTTGAAACTGAGCGCGTTCCAGTGCAATTTGACACCATCAAAACCAAGTACATTCGCAGTGTCCTTTCGATGTTTAGGAATGTAGCTCTGAAATTTTGATTTTCAAGAATTTGATAATAGAACTTAGATCTTTTTTATAGTCCGTTTTGTATAAGTTCATCTAAATCGTCTTTATAAACTTACCAATTCATCTGCTGTAGCATACAAATTTGTTGCATCCATCTTCTCTAAATGATTAAGAAATCCAAATTTTGAACGTATTTACATCATCGTATGCATGCAATCTTTCAATAATAGAAACACATAGCTGATCGATCACTGGGATAAAGCCTGACACTTTAAATTTATCTTTTGGTGACAAGTTAGTATCTTGTGCTTTCATATAATCGAGCGGATCCAACTTCACATTTCTAGTTCTGGTGCGAGATTGTACGTACTGTTCAGTACATGATATTCCTTTAGCAGATTCTTAGTATTTGTCAAACTCGTCTCTTTTAAATGCATTGCAGACTCAAGCGTCATCTTCGGGTCCTGCAAGATCCTGTTTGTAGCGTAAAATAGCTCTTCTCCAAAAGATGCGTTGCTTCAATTCTCACGATCTCATTTTGCTTCTTATCACAAGATATAGCTTCTTTGATTTCAAAATAACCGTCAACAATAGCTTTCGTAGCTTCAGCTCGACAAGACCAGCGTGTATCGCTAAGCCGTTTCAACACGTAAAACTGTTTGTTTTTTATGATAATTTTTCAGTTAGAATTTGGTATCTTTCTGTACTTACTGTGAAAAATGTATATAAATTCTGGACAAAATCAAAGAATTGAACAGCCGATGTGCAAGCATTAGCAGCAGCCTTTCCAACTAAATTAAGAGAATGACCACAACATGGTAACATGGTACAAACAATGATAAAGGATTTTTCTCCAAAATCAGAGCTTGCATTGCTGCTCATATTTGCAGCATTATTGTATGATTGGCAGCGACAATCGATCATTTTGATGGTCGCGGTGTAAAAAGTAATCTTAAAATGGTGTCAAAATCCAACACCAAGTGGTGTTAATATAACACCATGAATTATGGTTGAAAATGTGTACCGATCGCGAAAAAGGCGGTGTGGATCACGTGATGTTCTCAAATCTCGCCTCTGTTGACTTACATGAAGAATATATAAACTCAGGTGGTCCTTTGCTTTGGTGTGACACTACAAGTTGTTCGATACTAAAGAGACCTTAAATAGGTGGAAACAGCTGTCAATACTTAAAGTATTTTAAGTTAGTGGAACCCACTAAAAAAAATTATCTCTAGCGAGTTGAAGGTTTCATTTTCTGGAATACCTAATACCACTGGTAATATACTAGTAATGCGTCAAGGAACTTCCTGTTTCCTTTTTTTCCTTTTTTCTGTGTAGTATGATTTAATTTGACCACAAACACATAATATTTAACACTGAAAAGAAGTTCAATTTACACCAGGTAAAATTTATTTTAATACTGTGTGAAAGTTAAATTAACACCATTTTAGTATTTGAATTTACACCGGCCAATGAACCATATTTAACACCATTTTGGTTTGTATCGATATAGACCATGTATGGTGTTAAAATGGTCATGAAATTTTGAACAGTGTAATGAAAACGCCGTGACCAACAATTTTGCGATTTTTGGTTTACGGCATTTTCTACTAGAACAATTCATCCTGCGTCTATCCCCGGTACTCAAAAAACCGAGATAGATCTATAGATACGGTTTTTTGAGTACCGGGGATAGACACAGGATGAATTGTTCTAGTAGAAAATGCCGTAAACCAAAAATCGCAAAATTGTTGGTTACGGCAGAATTGGATTTATTATTTCTTGATATTATTTCATTAAGAACTTATTCACCCATGAAACTAATCAGTTGTTCACAAATCGTAGACAAAAGTTTTTTTTAATAATTACAATTTATGTGGGGGCCCATCTCTTGGAGACCCCGGGCAGTTGCCCTCATTGCCCTCCCTTAAATCCGGCCCTGGTTTTAAGAGACTTTTTTGGACTGTATAACGAACAACAAAATCGTACGATTCATTCGTTAAGCTGGCAACTCATGAGTGCACTTTTTTCCAAAATTGTTTTTTAGACTTTTAACATATAATTCAGATGATACCCAAATAAAAAAATGCCAACTGTATATCTAACTTTTACCTCCAAAATCACTTATGTGGGTCATTCTTGCAATAGGGGAAACTTTATGTCCCTGACTTGCCATGCTCAGTCAAGTGCATGTTCACCATTTTTTATTTTATATTTATTTAGGGGTTTATTGACCCTATTCATACACCTATTAACTTAATAATAAAATAAAACCAATTCGATACATTTTCCCTTTAATTACATAAATTGTCATTAGCGTGGATGTCCCTGGATATCCTTTCACCAGAATATTTTTTTTTTGCAAATTAAGAAACTGTCCATAAATACTCTAGCAATAGTATATTTTAGACAACACCTTTTAAGATATGTTAAGCGGGATTGAGACAAAAAAATAAAATTGAATTGAAAAAAAAAACATTTCTTAAATGTGTCCCTGAGTTTGACATCATTAGCGTGGATTATAATGATACGTATTTAAAATTCCCGCCTACTTTAAATTTTCCAGTTAGCGACCGTTATTATAAACATTTTGGTATACGCTATTTACTTGATTTGGCGCCAAACGCGAACAGTTGCACAGTGAACTATGAAGTGTGAATTTGTTATGTGTTTCATGGGCGTATGTTTAATGTGCATCATTGGAGTGCTAGTGACAATTTTGTTTATCTAAAAGCTATTAGAAAAATATTGACAATAATTAATGAGCAGTGACAACTACAAAAGGTATGCATAATTTAAATTAAATTCATTAATCCATTTGCTGTCCAAAGAACCTTAACCTTAATTTAGTCATTGGCGTGGATATTTACTTGCATCATTGGCGTGGACTTTTTTGTTCACGCTAATGACGCCAATGATATTTTGTACGAATAATGATAATAAGATATTTTTATCTAAAATCGGCAGTAAAGTAGAACTTTAGTACCGATTTAATACGAGCATTGTATGCAAACCATTACTGCTCCTTAGCAGCAACTAAATAATATTTTAAAAAAGCACCTTTGCGGAGATCAATTGGAACCTTTCATAAAATGTTAAAAAAAAGAGTTAATTTTATTTTATTAATTAAATTAAAAAATCGCCGCGGCGGGCAAATATATCATAACCCCAGTGGCGGCTGGTGGATTTTGGCACACCCATATCTCAGTTATTAGACATGGGACCCATATATATATATATACATATATATAGACAAGTTCTGCGCAAGCAAAATTTAAATTAAAGTTTGCGAAAAAAAGTTAGTTTTTAAGTGCAACCCCCAGCCTCCTGCCCCTCCAAATTAGGATAATTCAAATTAAAGTGGTACAATATTTAATTCACTGAAGTTTATCGATAAATTTGAAATTTTATTAAAAAAATTCAAGTAATACAGATTTTATACCATTTCAATTTTTTTTAAATTTAGTAAAAGAAATAATAAAAATTATAAGTGGTATAAAACCTGTGATTCTTGAATTTTTTTAATAAAATTTGAAATTTGTCGATAAACTTCATTGAATTAAATATTGTACCACTTTAATTTGAATTTTTTTTCGCAAACTTTAATTTAAATTCTGCTTGCGCAGAACTTGTCTATATAATGTCATTATAAACTCATATAAATTTGATGTGGGTCCCATGTCTAATAACTGAGATATGGGTGTGCCCAAAATCCACCAGCCGCCACTGCATAACCCAAAGATAATATATAATATAATAATATAATAATATAATAATATAATAATATAATAATATAATAATATAATAATATAATAATATAATAATATAATAATATAATAATATAATAATATAATAATATAATAATATAATATAATAATATATAATATAATATGATAATATATTATCTTTGTCATAACCATCGCAACAAACAGTATACCATGGACACTACAATCAAATGACATTCGATTCAAATTTTAATGCAGAAGGTGTCTACTGTTTAAAAAGGTAAATAATTTCAGGCCCGTTCCTGGCGAGCGTGCAGTGCGTGCACGCACGCAGGCGCAACATTTCGGGGGCGCAAAATCAAAGAGTCAATCAGTACTTTGTAACGATAAACTTTCTTGCATATGATACTTAAACATACATTGGATAAAGGTTTCTGCCTTTTTTGCGTCTTTGATATTGGCTGCTTATTTTGTTTTGATATGAAAATAGAATTAGTCAAAAATGACTAATTTAATTAGTCTAATTGCAATAGCGAAAAAGCAGCGACTAATAATTATTGTCAATAGTAATTTGTATCCCGGATATTTAGCAGTAAACGCATATGTAAAATTGTCCGCTGAATCCGAAAATGTCGTCAAAAGTTATAAAAGTAGAACGTTTTTTGAGATTTAGTAAATTTTCCATATAATATGGTATTGACTATATCTTAAAAACTGCTTTACTTTTATAATTTTTGACGTTACTTTCGGATTCAGGGGACAATTTTACATAATAATAAGCTGTTAAATGCCCGGGATACAAATTGCTGTGGACTAAAGTTATTAGTGACTGCTTTTTTACTTTGAAAACTAGTCATTTTTAGTACGTCACTAAAAACCAGTTGAAGTTATTATATTGTTTAGATTGTTTTTTTTTGTTTTCTTTAGAGTATTTTTATCACTGACTATTTCCCTCGTCTTAGTTTCCACCAATCACAAACGCGCAATTTTGAACTACAAATGGTTTCTAGGTGGAAAAACTGTATGACAGCACCTGTCAGCAGTTTTTTCGAGTTTACCCGCGACAAAACTTAACAGCTGTTGTCAACAAAAATTGCAATTTATATTTTAATTGTTAACTATTACTCATGATATAGTCTTGTCAAATACCATTCGGGCATCTAACTTTTCCTATGAAAAAAATCGTTAAAACACAATGCAAGTACAATAACATTTTTAAACAAAATACATTCGTGCAGGTGCAAAAATCCTCGTCTTCGACTCGGATTTTTGTTGCCACCAGCACTCATGCTTCTTGTTAAAATATTACTTAACAACGTGTTTTTTCGATTTTTTTCGATAAAATATATGCACTTTTGATATTACTTGTTTGTTTGGTAATTTAATAAATATTTTTTATACTTAATTTAAGCGGTTTTTTATGTTTTCAATTACATATTGCCAGTTTGTCGCAAAATATATATTTTTTAAATTTTACGGCTTAAAATTCAAATATTTAATGTATTATATTTAAATATAAAAGGGGCGCACCAACGAATGCTGCACGCAGGCGCCAGACACCCCAGGAACGGGCCTGAATAATTTATAATTATTAAATGCGATTTCGGATAAAATTTAATATCGTTACCCTAATTCGCAAAAGACGTAAGTCCACTTTTGAAAAACCGGGTTTTAGTGCCATCTCCTGTTCATGAACCTGCAGGTTTAATATCTACATAAACCGGCAAGTAGCATTACATTTACAATGGGTAGCTTCAATTTACAGAGACATGGTATCCAGGTATGTCTCCTTTTTTTTATTAATATCGAGCACTGAGGTAAATTATTTTTAGGAATAATTGAGGATATAAATGGAGAAAACATAACTATTACCTTTATGGCAAGAAGTGGTAAATATTAAATATATATATATAATAAAAAAATTTTATTGGCCTGGATCAACTGATCGACAAATCTTTACAGAAGCTGGTATATTATGTAAACTTGATTTGCCACCACAGCCAATTTCAAATAGATTTTTTAAAGTACCAAGCTTAATTCATTAATTTTTTTGGAACCAATGTTTACTTATAAATATATATCAAAAATATATTTTGTATCATTATTCAATGAAAACTGTGCGTGCCTCTTAGTCATTGGCGTGGATATGGATTTTTG